GCTCTAAAATGAGGTATCATCTGCCCGTTACTTGAAAAACCATTCTTAGAGAACAACGACGGGGCCAACCAATGCTCCCTCTAAGCTGTGGAGTCTTGTGAGCAAAAATTCTACTTTGTGAGCTACTGGCATTAAAGTTGTGAGCGAGCGCTTTGTTCTCGCTGTCTGCTCCATGTATGGATCACTTTGATTTGGTTCCCATGACAGGATCCCAGGATCTGTGAAAGCCGCTACTTGTACTTGGGATCCTGGCCCATCCTGGCTACTGAAAGCACGTAAAGATGACATCAGTGAGTCCATAATGGACATTATAAATCAATCACTAACTCAGGGTACCTTTCCTTGGGCTCTAAAATGAGATATCATCTGCCCGTTACTTGAAAAACCATCCTTAGAGAACAACGACGGGGCCAACCAATGCTCCCTCTAAGCTGTGGAGTCTTGTGAGCAAAAATTCTACTTTGTGAGCTGCTGGCATTAAAGTTGCGAGCCAGCAATTTGGCTACTGCATATCTTAGTTTGCTCTGGAGCCATCCCTTCCTGAGCCGGGACAAAAACGTGTGAGCCGGAGGCTAAAAAACTGTGAGCTAGCTCACGCTAACTCAGCTTAGAGGGAACACTGCTCCCAACTATTGCCTATTCTCTAATTTGTCTTTTTTGGGCAAGGTGACAGAGGGAGATGCAGCAGTGCAACTCCAGGACTCCCTGGATAACTCATTTGCCCAGAACCCCTTTCAGTGTGGTTTCAGGCCAGGCTAAGCGACAGAGACAACACTGGTGGCTTTAGTTTCTTTTCTTAAAAATGTTATCCCCCACCCCCCCCACAACTTTGTATTGAAAAGTTGCTCAGACATTGTAACAATGCAAAAAACAAACTATAAAAATCTACCATGGAGCAATCGTAAGGTTAATTTGTTCAAATGTACAACTATTAGGAGGAACCAAAAACCATGTACCAAAACAGAGAAACAAGAGGAAGAGAAAATTATTAAGCCACTATCTATTGGTTAATTAGCGTAACAAGACGTCTATTGTAGAAACATTACCAAATAAGTCTGAGTTGTGTGCTATAAAGGTTGTAACAGGAAACCAAAAAGTGAAGTAATTGGAGGAGAGAGGATTTGAATCATGTTGTGAAACTTGGTCTTTCTCCATTGTTAGGAAGTCCCAAAGGGTCCTATTTGGTGTAGTGGTTAAACGCGCGGACTCTAATCTGGGAGAACCGGGTTTGATTCCCCACTCCTCCACTTGCACCTGGCTGGATGACCTTGGGCAAGGCGCAGCTTTGCCCAGCAGGCAGAAGGAAACTGGTAATTGGCACCAACCATAGCGACACAGCTCAGAAATACTAATAGGATGCATTCAGATGCGCGGTTTCAGCTGGCATAAACTGCTCGGGTTGGAACTGGAGCCGTTTGATCCGGAAGAAACGCAATCACATTCACCTCCTGACTGCGCGGCACATTGCGATATGCCCGTTCACACTACCAACACGCAGCAGCGTGCGTCGGCGGTTTTTTTTTAAAAAAATTTTTGCACATGCGCATAGGCAGCCACCCACAGAGTTGAGATCTTTGCGCAGGCGCAGAACACCCCGTCCCGAAAAGCGTGCCCTGAAGCGAAGACTTCCCTTTAAACTTTTACAGCGAAAAGGGCCTCCGTGAGGTCCTGGACTCATCCGCAGCCTGAAACTAAGCATCTTTTTTTTGGTTTGTTTTACAAACGCCAGGGCAAAGCTTCGCCCAAGCGCACATCGAGGAAGCTAAAAAAAAAAAGGTGTCCGAAAAGCGAAAGCCTCGGGCTTCCAAACGGAAGTGGCTCTACACCGGCGGAGAGCGATCAGACGGGGATAATGCGGCTAGAACCGGAGCATTCAGGATACCACCACTTGGGGACCTAATAGCAGAATACATCGGTTTAAAGGATGTTTGCAACGGTTACGGACGGAAGGCAGATGTTGGCTGTGTGATTCCGCGTACGTACTCTGATTCTAACCGTCTCGTATACTGGCTCAAAGGTCCGTCTGAACGCACCCATAGACTTGCTAATGGTGTTAAAGATCGGAAAGCCTAGAGAGATCTCCTCAGCATGAAGAAAGCCTTTAATGGGCCGTTCCGTCCAGGCGGTGGCAGTGCGGCGCTACAACTTGAAGGAGTCTGGAGAAAAGCTGACGCCATCAAACCAAGCCGAGGAAAAACGCTGACCGGATCACGTCTCATCTTCAACTGAACGAAACCCTTGTCGGCTGCGAATGTGTGTGATTTAAGATGTATATATGTTGTCCTCCCTTACCCCACAAATCATTGTTAGTCCCTCGTAAAAATGAGTAACTGTAAATCGCTCAGAGCCAGCAAGCTCTGCAGGATTGAGTGAACAATAAATTGAAAGATGATGATGATGATGATGATTTAAAAGTTTCATACAAACAGCTTCCCAGGGTTCATATTTTCCGCACCAGCTACGGAACCAACATAGCTGAAGAGGAGCCACTGAGCTATCCTCAAATGCAATTTCAATCATTAATTTACAGCTGTTCTGCAACAACACGTGAAGTGGCTTCACACAGAACCACACAGCCCAACACTGTCCCCTTTAACCAGCAAGGCCTTTCCCCCATCAACTGCAGATGCAGGGGACAGGCCCTTCTGCACGTAAAGTACCAGCTGTGCTATTTGCCTTTTAGCTTGAGAGTGGAAATTCTTCAGGGATCTCACGGTTTTGTTCTGTAAAAACCCAAGCTAAACAAGAGGTGCCTACCTGTTCCCCGTCTAACATGACCTGGGGGAAGAGAGACAAGAGGACTTGCTTCGTTTGCACCTGAATTGCTCCCAGCTGCTGTTCCAGGGCCTCCTGAAAGAACAAAGAGGGATGGACGATCCTTTACACATTAAAAATAATATGTGCGCACCTCAACTGTAAAGTGTGCCTGCTATAAATGTGTATCACATAGGAGTGCTCAGAGAGGCAGGATTACCTGTTGGTCCCTGTCAGGGCCGGCTTGCGAGCTAGACGAACTAGGCATTCGCCTAGAGTGCGCCGGCCCTTAGGGGCACAAAACTGCACCCGGCCTCCCTTCCCTGCCTCCTGCTGCACCCTCTGCCCTCCCTCCCTGCTTTTCTCCCAGTCTGGAGTGTCATCATGGAACTTCTTCACGGGTGCATGGAGAGGCACGCGGCAGCAGGGGGGGGGGAAGACACAAGGTGAGAGGGGGGCACTAGTTTCGCCTAGGGTGCCGAAAAACCTCAGGCCGACCCTGGTCCCTGTAGAGTTGTAAACCCAGATTTGATGACATATGATTTATGAAAAAGAGTCTCTCCCTTCATACATAAATGACTTGAAATGAAAAAAAAACCGATCCAAAATTTGTAGGGTTACAGACATGAAATACACATTTCGGGTCCTTTTTTCTGGAGGAACACACCGGAATGGAGTTCCAGAACCTCTTTGACAAAATACTTTTAAAAGTGTTTAGAGGTTCATGAGTTTTCAGTGTACAGAATGAAAACTTCATTCGCCTCCCGACAGTTCTGGACCTCTTCCCCCCCCCAAAAAAAAAAAAAAAAAGCTCTGAGAATGCTCCTGCATTTCTGCAATTGTAGCATAAAATGCCATAGAGTTTCCAGGATAGCTCACCTTTGCTCTAGATGATGAGAGGAGCTTCTCTTGGCATGTTTTCTCCACTGAAGACACAGCTTCCATGGCTTCCCAGTTCTTCTCCCGCAGGTCCTGTCAGAACAGACACAAACCACATGGTAGCCTGGCTTTGTGCTAGGTAATCTCTGGCCAAGTTACTAAAGACACCCCACTGTTGTGATATCCAGCACTGGTCACAGGGAAGGCCTAGGAACTGTCAATGTTTATGGACCCATCACTAATTTCTCTCATGTCAGTTTAATAATGCCAGTCATCTCATTAACTTTGAAGATTAGGATTCGGTAGTAAACAAGAGCGAGGGGGAAATTAAACAGGCATTTGAGGACAGTTTTAAAAACAGGCGTTGACATCGGCCCTACTAGTCGAGCTTATATTTGCCTTGATCTGCAACCTTTGGTGGTTACTCACGTTGTTTTTTATTTTCAGCTGTTCCACTGTATTGTTCAGTTCTGCAGCTTCTTTCTGTAGCGTGGAAACCTGTGCCATTGATTCCTGGATTCTGAAAGAGAAAGGGACTCTGAGTTCTATTCTTTATCTACTCCTTGCTCATAATTTCACCCACTTACCTCCCCGCAAACATTTTGCACGGCACCCATTTATTATCAAAGCGTGAGGGCCCTTCCGTGATGTCAGAACAATCCTTTCATCTTCATGTACGTGCCCAAAACACACTTGGCAGTTTTCTAAAAATGAAACGAGGATCTAGAGCAAACCTCCTTTGAGAGTTTCTTTTGATCGATCGATGCTTTGGATTGCTCCAGATAATGTGTCATTCAGAAGTGCCTGGAGGTGAGCTACCACCATACACTTGAGAACTTTGCCCGTGAAGTGAGAATTTGAGACTGGCCGACACTGAGCCAGCATGGTGTAGTTGTTAAGAATGGCGGACTCTAATCTGGAGAGCCAGGTTTGATTCCCCGCTCCTCCTCCACATGAAGCCTGCTGGGTGACCATGTGTCAGTCACAGTTCTCTTAGAACTCTCTCAGCTCCAATTATTAAAGCGTGAGGACCCTAACGTGATGTCTGAACAATCCTTTCATCTTCATGAAATGAATTGTATTGAATGTTTTTAAAGTGCAGTTT